CTTGGTCCTTTGTAGTTTCCACAACACTGGCCTCGATGTACCTCCGAAATTCCGCGGCAAAATCCCCGGGCGCTTCAGGTTGGCCGAATAATCGCCCTTCGCGTTGCGGCAGAACTACAGAACATATCACTGGCCGGCGACGAGCAACACGCTTCATCCGCACTAATCCCCGACATTTGCCATCCGGAGGGTCAACGTAAAGTTGGTCATCCAGATATGGTGTAGATGACGTGAAGACGTGGGGTCCTTCGTCCGCATTCATGGAAACCTTGGGAATACCAGCCGCGCGGCGTGGGTCGTTCAAGCAAGAAGATGAAGACATAGAGGGGATATGGGGCGTACCCGGACCGTGGCTGGTAGAAAGCAGGACATCTGTGCATCGAGGCAATCTCGCCTTCTGTGTAAAGCCCATTTTCTGGAGCTTCGACCATGCGTCTCCGAAGCAAGTTTCTCGTCGCTTCGTGTTGTCCGCCATGGTGTTGGTTTTCAAGAACAACTGTGCAACATTGCATTGTCAAATGGTCATCTTTAAAACCTCAAAACGGTGCATACCGTTTTTACCGTTTGGGTAGCCTGGTGAATACCTCTGGCATCAACCACGGAGCGATGAGTGTCGTTGGCAGAGCTGTGCATTTCGAGAAAGTAAGACTATACGGTGTTTCAAGTGTTTTTGGTGCGTAGGATTCAGCGTCAACGATGACTCGGATCCGTGAATTGGATGGCCTGGCACTTTGTAGTTCCAGGAGCGGGATAGAAGTTCTGTGCTATCCGAAACTAATTTACGTGGGGGAATTTAACCCGGAAAAATAGGGGATGTCTTAGAACGATTTCAATGGTGACTGCGGCGGCCCGAGTTATGGAAAACATGGATGATATGGTTTTGACTCATTCTGGAATGAAGTTGTCGAGTCGAGTACTTGACGTTGATCCTACCACTAAGTTGGTCTGAGGACTACGATTACAACTCATAGTAGCAGGGCACTGAGCCAGAATACTAGCGATCCCGCGAACGTTAACCTCAAGTTACCGGTCGGTGTTCTAAACCTTGAGTGAACACAAGCGACGACACCCAAACCACGATGACCACGATCCTCGAATCGCTTGAGCAGGGGTCTCGGAAGGGAAGTTCGAGATCTCATCTTGTGGCCTGCCGAGCGATCGCTTAGCTTGGCTCGGGTCAGTTCTGAAGGCATTTCCATGTGGTATACGCGGCACATTGCAAACACTTCCGTCCGATTACATGCAACAATTGGCGGGTCTAGTATCCACATATTTTTCTCAGATTGAAAGATGTGTACCCTGGGGATCGCGAGCACATAAAACATCGCCCTCTGCTCAGTCAGGCAGTCAGACTCGGAAGACAAATCTAATAATCAGGACGTGGACGTGGATCTTGCCACCGCATTCGCACTACTGTAACCGTTGCCACTTGCCAGTCAGTTCAAAATTCAACGCTGAGAACAAGGTGCACAATGATCTGGATCTGCAGGGTACAGCTGCTCGTCCTTGTAGAGAGCCATTGAATCGACCCACTATCGGCCCGTGCTGTCATGGGAGACCTAGCACCACACGCCAGTCGACATACCGAAAATTTTAAATTTTCTCTAGTTTTTGGCAGATTGACGTGGACAAAAGGTAAAGTAGCTATGGCATCTTGATGACACTGCGCACTTCCAAGTATAGGAAATCGACTTGTTTACAACGGGGACGCGGCCGCCGTTCGTGGGATGTCACACTTTTTGAAGGCCTATCGGACGTCCAGGTGTTGATGCGGGAGGATAACCGTATCAAAGCTCCCGTTTTGATCAGGGACAGGGTCGACAAAAGTAACTTGGTCGATATGTTCTCCAGCGATCTGTTTGCTCTTTGCGAGAATGACTGGCGAGACCAATGGGATTTTCTATCAACTCTCCTACATATTATCGTGTATCTGTTGTGCTCAACGAATGCAGGCGAGAAAACAACGAACAAAGATGTTTATCTGGCAAGGCTGGGTGTCATCGCATGCAAAATTTGCCATTTGAGATTCTAGGTCTTCATGTAATGCAATACCAGTAGTCTCTCCCTTTGGAAGTGGGCCTGTCGCTCCTTCTGCTAGAGTGCCTCAATGAGGAATGAGTACATACTCCCTTCTCTGTGCAGGCGACAATGTTAACCCTCTGGCAACCATAGATGTCTCAACTCTTGCCTCCGCCTAGTCCTCCTAGCATGAACAAGCTATCGAGTTTGATAAAGCAGCACGGCTTCGCATCGCCGACTAAAAGCGCATTCCCCTCACTGACTTTGCCAAATTTGACGACGGATGTCCATCGTCTGTTTGCTCGCCATACTGTAACTTTGATTGTTTGCTCCTCGCCAACCAGCCCACGGCCTACGCTGATCGTTCTTGAGCCCCAAGACTAACCTGGACGCCGTGACATTGAAGAAAAGTGCGCTGATCTGCCCAAGCTACTGAGTCGCAGCTTGAAAAGGTCGGGTTGCGCTGACTGATTAACTTCACCGTGACTTGACACTTGCATGTCCTCCAAACAAGAGCGCTGGAGGCGAAGGAAGATGCTTCATTTATTCAATAAACGTCCTTTGGAGACTTTGATACTGTAATGACGCCGTTCCTCTTCTGTCCATCCTGAGGCGGTCGTTTCAATCGCATGTTGTCGTATTTGCATGTGTGCAAACCTATTGACCATATCAACTGTCATATGATGTATTAGGTCTGTGGAGACTAGTGCAAACCCACCACAGATGACACTTGCCGACGTCGCAGAACAAGGTAGAAGTCTGTATCCCGATTCCGTGCGGATTTGGATCTTTTTGATTCCAGCAGCCGCGAACCTCCCGAAGCTGGCTTGAGGGCTGATAGTAGAAAAGCTTTGGCAATAACTCAAACTGGGGACAAGGGGAGACCTTGGAAACCTGCGTTGCATTGTTTGAACAGATCGTTCTGTAATCGGCTGTCCATACAGTGAAAAATTCATTCGTGGTATGGGTGAGAGGTGATGATGATGTAAAGGTGTATCGGTGCATTATGGTTGTGGGGGAAGAAAAGACAAACAAGAAATGGAAATGGGATAGCAAGTGGAACGACGGACGAAGCAAATGGGTACAGAGATGACTGGTACACACAACAACACATAGAACTTGTCATGGAAGGTCGGAGACATATTATTGATGAATCTCTATAATGGTGTTGGGACGCGGGGACCTCGGCTAGAGCTTGGTCTAGAGCCAGAGCTGGAGAGTGAGAAGGGAATCATCAGCGGGCACATATAGCAGGCACAACGGATGAATGCTTACACGTTACTGGACTGAGTTGAACGCCATCCCCACACTTCACGGATCCACCTTGCCATGGGTACCTCTTTCTTCATGACGCTGAGGATCCATGGATGCGTCAACATCTCTTTGGGAGTTGGACGGAGTGTGTGCTCCACGATCAAGCTGAGGAAGAAATACATCGCTTAAGCGAGCGCAATCAAACATCCAATAGCAACCATACGTTTTCCTTACGAAGTCCTTCATATCCTCAGGCCATCTCACGTCAGCTTCGTCAGTCAGCTGTGGGGGCTGAGGGGGGAGAAATGAAATGAGAAAGCTAGAGCGCCGATGCAAGTCGTGTTTTCTTACCTCCCCTTGGGTAATGTAGACCAATAGCTCGATCGACGTGAAATCATCGGGGAACGGGTATCGATTCTGCACGAGTTCCAGAAGCGTAATTCCGGTCGACCAAACATCAGCCCGAATACTGTACTCCTTCCCACTGATGCGCTCGGGCTGTGTCGCACATCATCAGCAAAAAGGATACCCAAGTAACACTGTATACTTACGGCCATGTAAAAACTGGTGCCTGTAAAGGTTCCGGCCAAGGATTTGACAAGCTCGCCGGAGACCCCGAAATCAGCGAGCCGAACGACACCCTCTCCTGTCAGGAGAATGTTGGAAGGCTTGATGTCCCTGTGGATCGTCCGGAGAGAGTGGAGATACGCGAGACCTTGAAGTACCTGTATTGGAAATCAACAAAGGGCGAGAAACGAGACCTTGAAAGGAATACTTGCCCCTTCCGCTATACGACCTGTGACAGTTTCGCCAATGCGCGCACCTCGTTCTTTGATGCGTTTAGCAACAGCTTCTAGACTACCGCCAGCGCAATACTCCATCATAACCTTGACCTCGCTAGAGGATGGTGACATATAGGCGCCATAAGACTGAATGATATTGATATGCTTCGAGTTCGAGGAGATAGAGAGTTCGCGCTCGAGCTGTTTGAGTGGTGCTTCGCGTGTGGTGATCGTCTTCCGCGCAAGAATTTTGCCTGTTCGGATATCTCTGACTTTGTGAACAGCACCGCCTTGTCCCTCACCAAGTCTAGACAGTTCTTCCAAAATACTGTCAGACCATTTCTCAAGCCGTCCATGGGTCAAGGTTTCCTCTGTTGGGGTGTAGGACTCAACACTGGCTTTGTCGAAAATGGCGACGAGCTGCTCGATGGTGTTGTCACTGGCTTCGCTTGGTTCAGGGGGACGAGCTGTTTGTATCTGGATGTCTGAAGGGCGGACGGTAGCGCCTCCAGGGTTCTCTCCATCTAATCCAGGTGGAATTGAAGCAGGTCCTGCATAGTAATCGCTGACACCGCCAAAACCTGCTGATATAGGTAGCTGGAGCTTTGGCCTAGAGCCGTTTGGCCTGGGTGTGAGGCCAGGAATTTGCGGACGCGATGGGCTTGGTGAGGACGAGAGTTGTGGAACTGATGCGGGCGATGGTGGGCGCAATGATGATAGATCTACGGAAACCTTGCGAATTTGGAGCGGACGTGTTTCAGTTAACAAAGGGGATTGCGAACGAGGAATAGTTCTGGGGCCGATAGGGCGGGAATGAGTTTGTTGCATCGTGAAGGTTGTCTCACTTGCACACAGTGTCGCTTGAAACCAACCAACCCGTCCAAGTCGGTGAAGGGGGCGCCATCACTTAGGTACGTGTATGTCATCCATTCTTCGTTCCTATATGGCAGTGTAGCCAAGTGGTTACGGCGTCACGTTTAGGTCTAGCACTCAATCCGTGATGGGTTTCCCGCGCGAGTTCGAATCTCGTCACTGTCATTTTTTATTGTCCTCCGTGTGGGATCAGCTTGAAAGCGCCCATACACACACAACCGTGTGAGATGTGGAATTCGTCCACGGCGAATACCCGCCAACCGTAAGTATAACTACGAGCCTCTCGTCCTTCTTGACACATTTGCATTTGTGCCCAATGCCGAGGTCGACCACAGTGACATCGAGTTCTGAGCTCAGTTCCTTGGACACCAGCTCACGCACCAGCACCCCTCCACCGCCTTCCCCAACAAAGTCTCGACGGCAGCCTGTCCCATTACGCTTGAATAGCATCGGCATCGACCCGTCAGTCCTGGTTGGTAAAGTCCTGACGAGAATAAGCCGCTCGTCAAAACACCCTAGCATGCAATTGCATTTCTCGGATGATATCACATACCAAATTCTAGTGGATGGTTACGACCCAATACATCGGTAAGTCTGCGCCCTACGTTGTGAATCATCCGGCCGCTCATAGTGGTGAATATCAGTGGTCTACCCAAAGAACTCGAAATGGACCCCTGTTTCGGGTCACTCCTAGATGCTGCAGATGGCCAACTTAATGTTGACCTAACAATCGACGACTGCACTCTTATCACATTGACCGATAAAGCCTTCGAGTCAAGGCAAAGACAGCAACGATGGGACCAGAATCACATTGCTGTTGCGTTCAAGTTTAGCCAGGACCAAGCCTGGCACTGTGTCTGGGCGACTCTGACCGACCATGAAAACGGACACTGCGTCTTTCGTAGCTACGACGACGTATACCTTGAACAACTACAACGTTCTCCTCGCAAACGTCGTCCCCGCGCCCCCTCCCCACCGACAAAGTCACAGTGAAATGGTTGTTGTAATACTAACCGCGACGATGTCGGACTGGATCTCAACAGACATGTACCAACAACTATCATTACCAACGCTTTGTATCACGCTGTCTTCTCTGTCGCACCCTGTTTTGAGTAGCACCCAAACCCATCATCGATTATTTACCTCATCATAGCAGCCCCATCATCACGTTTTACTTATCATTCGCACCTTCTTTCGTTAGCTCATGCATTCCTTGTACAGATACCTCGCCTCAGTGTGGACCTCTGCCCATTTAGCGAATCACGATGTGGGTGTGAATGATCTATTTGTCACGGTCCATCTCATCTAGTAATTGTGATTAATCCATCCATGGACCATGAGAGCATGCCAAGGCACACTAGGCTCAAAAGATTACTGACGAGCGAGTATCACGAATGTATCTGATGATATTGCCAGATGGGAAGTAGTTTCGCAGCGCCTTTTAGAAATCTGACAAGTGTCAATTTGTGTCTGTAAAACATGTGAAATCTTGTATGTCACCGGAACAATCCAAGTACAGAAGTACCGGCACCTGCGCTGGTGCAATTCTCTTGAGCGTGTCTAGAATAGCGGGCGTCGATCATCTCTCCGGCTAGGTCGGGATGACTTCTTGCCCCTCGACATCGCCGAAAGAGATCGATAAGGTGGTTATCCCACAAGACAATCAAGCACCATATCTGAGCTGTGGAGTTTACCTTGATGCGCTAAATTCTGCAACACGAGGGTCTAGAGTTGAAACCCTTGAAGTGACCACAATAAGCAACGACAGAGCAGACAATTCCACATTTGACGTGCCTGCCAAAATTTGAATTGTTACTCACATTGGTTGCCGCAAGCTTGGGAGTCGAGCACCCTAAAAGAGATGATGAGTCCTGGCACGCAAACCGTTCAGTCAAATATGGCAACAGTGAGGCTGTGGCGTCCGATGGCGTGCCACAAAGCGGATAAAGCATCAAGAGGATGACCAAAAGATATGAAAATAACAACGACTAGTGGACAGACTGGGGGGCTTTGTTGTCCGGCAGACGAGGGAAAACGGCAGGTAGTCGATTTTCCGTCTTTGAAGACTTGGCTAGAACACAATCGTGTGAGGCGCGCCGGACCATAACGTTGACCAGGTACATCGAATTAGTTGGTGTCGGGTTGCCTATTGGAGAGTTAGACCCTGCTTGTGCGGCGTACCGTTAAGAGTCCTGGCTGTCACATGCAGGGAGAAACGGAAAAAAGAGCATGACAAGAGGTTTTGCATACACCAATGGGCTATAATGTAAGAGAGAACATACCAACCATATGTCGGTGGCGAGGTCTTGAGGATGAACCAGTGCCACTGAGCATACCTTACATTGATTGACAAGGCGCACTAGAGGGAGTCACTATTTTGGATCCTTCTGTGCCCTGGCCCTTGGCTAGAACACTGATCAAACAAGGACTGGTGTGACTTTTGAATAACACTATAACGGATGCTTACCTAGATGGGAGCTCCATGACGACGAGATAGATATGGACGCGAGGTAAACAAGGTTTTATTGGGTTCGTTGTCGCAGAAGAACAAATCAGGCGCATATTGCAAGGTTATATGGGTCTGTTTTCAGTTTGGGAACCGCTCGGCCGATTTCTGGGTGCTGTCGACCCCATTTGCAGTGCCAAAGATTCAGGAGAGCCTGAGCGTCCACCTGGCATATGTGATATTGAACCCAGTCATATTACAGCGTTATTTGGATAGTTAGGGAAGTTGAAGAGGACAAATGAATCAGATGACCACATCGTTGTACGTTGTTGAATACAAGTCATAGATGGATGAGACTTTCCTTTGATCATGGTCATGTTCTTAATGGGGAATATTCCCACGGACCCACCGATCGTTTGTCGAGGTTGCCAGTGCTTGAATACATAGTCTTCCATGGCAAGCCCAGCTACTCCAGCACCGACAGCGCGCGTGTCGTTCGCGTCTCTAACTCGCCAAAATATTGGGACAGTTCGAAAGCTAAATTCTGTTCTCTTTCCCGTCAAATACAGCGAAAAGTACTATGAGGACATCCTGCAGTCTGGGGTTGAAGCCTTTTGCCAACTCGGTCCGTCCGTTTGATAACATGATCTTATTGGATTACCATAGTTCTTACCTCGTAAGAAACTCTCCATCAGTTTATTACAACGATGTTCCCGTTGGCAATATCTGCTGCAGGCTCGAGAATAAAGAGCTGTATCTGACAACATTAGGCGTCCTCGCCGTAAGTCGTCCATCACGCCTAACATCAACTACATGGCTGATACCGCCTCCCAAAAGCCCTACCGCTCTCGAAAGTTGGGCTCCCAAGCCCTTGAGCGTATCATTGAAGCCGCATCTTCCCATACCAAGCCCAGAATCAAGCGTATATCCCTCCATGTACAAATCTCCAATGCGGACGCAAAGAGGTTCTATGAGCGCCACGGCTTCAAAGAAGCGGGAATCCACAAAGATTACTACAAGAAGATCACCCCTCAAGACGCATGGATACTGGAGAAAATCATTGAGCACGCCCCTGAACAATAGTTGTGTACCCCTAGTAACCTATATTACATGACGCAACGCAACACATCCACCTTCAGTATGTAACGGAAGTCGGATCTGAAAAAAAAAATATGTGCTCATAATTTACAGTGAAGTCATATGCAAGGTGAACATGGTGCATGCTCATCACTGAAAGACCCCAGTGATCAGCACAACATTAATGTGATACTAATGAATAATAGTCCTCGGCGATGGAACTGGACAAAGCGGCCGGTCGTCAGTCGTGTAGATGGCTCTTATCGCTTGGAGACTGATATGTCCATTAAGAGACCGATCACGACCTCTTGGTTCTCATCATATATCATCCTCATGCCCGCAGTGCTTAACGAGCTGGGAGATGGTGAATGACAAGTCGTGAGACGGGATATATGACTTACCTGGTGTCGCTTTAGTGCATCTTTGCGGGTGAACGTCTTTCCGCATCCCCCATTGCATAAAAATGGCTTTTCCCCGGAATGCGTCTCTCTGTGGCGTTTCAGGTCGTGCTGTCTATTGAAAGACAATGCACATAGGTCGCAGGAAAACGGCCGTGACGGGGATGCTGGGTATTGTGGTTGTTGATGCTGGGCATCACCACGCCCAAAATACGAGGATGTCTGTGGAAGGCTGTGTTGGTGCGAGGTGAGATGTTGCGCAGGATATTGGTGCGATGGCATGGAGTAGTGAGGCATGGCATTCGAATGTTGTGTATGATGGTCTGGAGAAGGGTATGATTGCCGCGGCTGGTGGTACGTATTTGGCGTCGCGGCCACGTATTGGCTCGACACTGTGGGCGGGAAACTTCCGGTATAGTGATCGTTCATTCCGTATTGGACCGAGGGGGAATGTACCGGCACCATGTTGTGCATTGCGGGTCCCATCGTCGGATAGGCATTGGACCCGCCTTGGTAAGGACTCAGCTGTGCAGAGTAACGAGAAGGCTGCTGGGTGCTGCCAGTTGTCCACTGGCCGCTTCGGCCAGAGTCCTCCGCAGGGAAGGAGTATCCGCGCCGATCGGTCATGATGAAAAAATGTAGGTGGGGCAAGAAAGTGCGGTGCGAGGCGCTTGACCTCTCGTCTGAGGCCTTGGGTTCATAAGCATTTCCGGGACCGCTGGAGTGTCATATAAACAGAGAAATTGAACGAGAAGGCGAACTGGTCGTAACTGGTTGGACCAGATCTTGTCTAAGTTGCCTGATCTGGTTGATACTTGCAATGTGCCTGATAATAACTGTAACCGTGACTGACCTGAGGTTGACCATACAGCAACAGATGACTGACGACCCTGATAATATGTATTTCTGAACTGCTTGTCTAACCAAAGTAAGGTGATGGGTTTCCCCCCCCCCCGGATCTGTCTTTGATTTCAGGCTGCCTCTCTTTATCTTGCTGGGATCTCCTCATCACCAGTCAGGAACAACACCCATTCTTGGTAAGGTTCGTCTCTTCTCAGAGTCCCAGTCAAGATCGTGGCAATGCTTGTATGTACTACCTCCTGACCACCATGACCTCAGTGGGTTGACATATTGAAGCCGGTGTCCCCTCTTATTCCGTACATGTCTGGCTGATTTGGCTTCACTCACTGATGGGCGTCAGTGAATAATACTGTTATGGTCCTGTTGGCATAGCCTCTTCCCGG